TAGGTGTACGTGGCTGGCGCCCTAGCCGGTTGAGCTATAGGCGCCGAGCCCACTTAAAATCTTAAAAGAAAATTTTCCTGGCAGGTAATTCATGTATAGTATGGGCTGACATAATGGAATTCATCTGATTTTATTGCTAAAAATAATAATTCCCCTTCATTTAAATACCTTTTGTGTTATACTTCAGAAAGGAGGTTAGAGTTGGAATGGAAGGTCTCACCGTTTTCCAGGGGATTCTGAGAAGTTTTTGTATTCAGCAGTTGGGGAGCTCCTCTTCTATTCCAGTTGATATAACTTCCCTTTTCAGATACAGGTGCAGGTTTTCTATGTAGTTATCTTTTTTACTGGGACTGTTAAATTTGTGATGAAATTCAAATAAGGTAACTTTGGCTTTCGCAATTTAAATCTTTGAGCAATCTATATGTGATTAAGAGATTTCTGACATTTATTCTTACACTAAGTGGATCAACTCTACAATATAGGCATTTTCACTTCTGTTGAGTTTTGAATCTCTCTGGAGTTGTATGTAGATAGCTTTTATTTCTGTACATTTAAAAAACCCATTTAGAGAATACTACCAAGGAAAAATCAGCAGAAATAAAAATGTATTTTTTTCATGAACACTTTGATACACATTTCATCAAGTTTATTGATTTACCAATTTCTTAACACTTGTTATAACCAGTATTTAATTCATAGAGAGGGGAGCATTCATTATTGATATATGGACTTTCTTTACTCCATCTTTTATAAATGATCAGGTTTGGGCCACTAAAATTATATTTTTATCATGGAAAAATTTCAACTCTACAAGCCATAATGTTTAACAGAATTGAAGTATTTTCTTTAGAATTTCTTGAGCAAGCAAATGAAAGCTTATTGTAGAATGCTTGTACTTTCTTTTCTCTCTGGAACATCAATACCAGTATATTGCTGGCAGCTATTGTATTAAAAAGAAATAAAAGTATATTTTCACTATCATAAAGGGTTCTTTTTTCCCCCCACCTCATGAAAATAAATAACAATTTGGGGTAAAATTGTTTCAAGACCTTTTTTTTCTTCTTATGGGCAATTCAGCACCTTTTAATAGGTTTAAAGGAGAAAACTATATGATCATCTCAGTATGTGCAAAAACAATTTGATAAAAACATTCATGGTATTCATTCTAAGCAAAATTGGACCATAGGCAATTTTTTAAACCTGATAAATATTTCTGCCAACACTGTACAGCAAATGTCCTATATTTGTAGAAGCTTTAAAGTTAGCAGTAAAAAAGGGTTACCCTCTACCCTAGCTGCTATCTAACTACTTTCCACAGCTACTTGAGAGACATCCTAGCCAATGCATAAGACCAGTAAAAGGAATGAGGGATGAAAAAGAAGTGACAAAATGATATTATTTGCAGATGATAATGTGTGTATAAAATCCAAAATGACCTACAAATTAATAAAATTCATCTGAATTTCCAGATACTAGATTGAGGTGCAAAAATTTAACTGCACAGAAATACTATATTAAAAGTTAATAAAGAAATTGGTAGATTTCTTCTGGAGGAAAACTAGATGAATGAGGAAAATAGGTGCGAAGTTGTTAATGTGTACTTGAGCTTTTCCAAATTGATGACTATATTAACCTATTCTAAACAAAAATTGCTGTAAAAAATGAAGATCCTAAGCTGTTTAGTATCAAATCTAACAAAGAATGTGCAGTTGCTTTATGGAGAAAAGTATAAGACATTGAAAGACCTAATAAAAATCTACTCATTGGGTAGGTATACCATGTTCATGAATGGAGAGGTCAAAAGCATCAAGTTTTAAGTCTGTGTCAAATAAATGAATTTCAGAAATTCACATGGAAGATTTATGTCCCTAAGTAGCCAGTTTATATCTGAAGGTAGGAAAGGAAAGGGAACTTATCTAACAAGATCTTGAGACTTAGTAAAAATTTAAAGTAATTGATGGGTTGGTTAGAGGTTATAGCAACACAATTACTCCTGCTGCAATGAGCCGAGAAAAACATTAAAACACCAAGATGATACTTTAAACACCAAAACACTGTGCAAGCAATAAGGACTAAGGAATTGGATTTTCAGAAGGACAAACTTCTGAGGAGAACTGATTGCCCCCTGAGGGCATTTGCTGATGCTGGGCCCAGAACTGAGGACTGGGTTTGGCTCATGCAGCGGGGGCTCTGCCGGAGAAAAGAAAATCACAAAACTCCTAGTTAGAGGGTACATTGGATACCAAGACACCCCAAATACATGACTAGTTCCCACACAGGACATTTGCTGAACTCCAAAGCTGTGCATGGCATGTTAGAAGCTAAGCTTAGGCCTTCTAAAAAGCAGAGCAAAATCTAGAAGCTCAATATTTAGGAGACAAAATTTTCATTAGGGGCCGGGGCCTGCCCAAATACCCAGAAAGCATGTTAGTGGTTGGTTGCCTGGGTTGGGGTGGGAGGGGGTGGGATTGACTATCAAATAGTCTTGTGTGTGTTGGCCACCCTTGTAAAATTTTGTAAACAAAGGTACATTGAAGTACAATTTCCAATTTTCCCTATGTATGGACTTTTGGGACACCCTGTAGAATATATGAAGGACTTTTGGAACTCAATAATTTAAAAAGACAGACTTCGGCACCCGTAGCACAGTGGTTATGGCGCCAGCCACATGCACAGAGGCTGATGGGTTCGAACCCAGCCTGGGCCAGCTAAACAATGACAACTATGACGACAAAAAATAGCTGGCATTGTGGCGGGCGCCTGTAGTCCCAGATACTTGGGAGGCTAAGGCAAGAAAATTGCTTAAGCCCAAGAGTTGGCGGTTGCTGTGAGCTATGATGTCACAGCACTCTACGGAGGGCAACATAGACTCTGTCTCAAATAATAATACAATAATTTAAAAAGACAACCCTATTGGGCAGCGCCTGTGGCTCAAAGGAGTAGGGCGCTGTCCCCATCTGCCGGAGGTGGCAGGTTCAGACCCAGCCCTGGCCCCCCAAAAAGGACAATCCTATTAAAAAGTTAGCAAAGAATTTGAATTGATGTTTTTCTCCACAGAAGATGCACAAATGATCTATGAACACATGAAAATTTCATCATTAATCATTAGGAAAGTGCAAACCGAAACTGCAATAAGGTGCCACTTCCAGTAGGATGGCTATAATCAAGAAAATGGACAGTAAC